CCTCATATATAAATATATTTGCATATGTACATGTCTTTATCTAGACCTCTATAAATGCCCTTTGCCTCCCAGCTCTTTCCTCTATTTCCCTTGACCTTCCTCCTGTCCCACTAGCATGCTCAGTCGCCCCCCCCCCATAGGGTTTTCAAGGCTGGCGGGGGAAAGAGGACAGCTACTTACTCTCTATTCCTGTAAAGATTTGCAGTCTGTGAAACCCACAGGGGGAGCTCTACTCTGTCCTACAGGGTTGCTGCTTCAGAATGCGCTCAGTGACAGGGAGTTTTGAGACATCTGTGGGGACAGGTCACCAGTGTTTCTTTCTATAGAAAACTAGTGGGCTTCAACAGTCGGGCTTCTCTTAAGCAGCCGGGCCCTTAACCACTGTGCCATCAGAGCTCCATACCTGTCTTCTAAACCCAGTGCCATCGAGTCTGTTTGAAACCATAGCACCCACTATGCCACCGGGGTGCTCTTTCATCCCTTTCTCAAACCTAAACCAAACTCACTGCCATCAAGTCGATTCCAATTCACATCAACCCCATCGCACAGAGCTGAACCGCCCCTGTGGGTTTCCGAAGGGGGGGGCGCGGGGTCTGTCAACCTTAGCAGCAGTAGAAAACCTCCTCTTTCTCCCTGGAGCAGTCAGTGGGTTCTAACTGCTGACCTTGGCGTTAGTTAGCCCAGTGAGTTTGTGACCCATTATGCCAAGGCTCCTTTCCCCCTCCTCCTAGCAAGTTCCAAATAGCAAAGGCAGAGGGGAGACTTCTGAGTTAGTCTGTAAACATATATTGGTGCAGTGTTTAGTCAATTTAAATAAAGGAAAGAAAACGAGGGTGCTGATGGTTCCCAGCATTCCCTGGAAACCCATTTGGTGTTCTCTGCAGGCAGTTCTGATTGGAAACTACTACAAGAAGCTGCTCAAGGAGTCTGGCCAGTGAGTGCAGTGTTGCCTTTTGCAGTACTGCAGCCTGCCTTACCCTTAGGAAGGGACTCTAAACCCCAACCCTTCAAACTCACTGCCATCCAATTGAGTCCGAATCCTAGCAACCCTGTAGGATGGAGTACAACTGCCCTTGTGCGTTTCCAGTACTTTGCGGGAATAGAAAGTCGTATCTTTCTCTAGGGAGAAGCGGGTGGTTTCCAATGGCTGATCTTGCTTTTAGCAGCCCAACGTGTATCCACTATACCACCAGGGCTCCTTTTGGGAGGGACAGTTCTTAACATTTCTGACCAACGTTCATGGCTTTGGGCACACAGAGTCGCCCAAAGGAGCTGTCTGGGGAGAGCGTCCCCACTCTCTCCCTGTAGGGCTGACAGCTCATCTGACCTGCCCTTCTCAGCACCCTGCCCCCACAAGGCAAGGGTGGGAAATCAACCTAGGGGGGCCTCACGTGTCAAAATGATCCAGGGGAGTGAGTCACATCCCCCTGATCTGCATCTGAAAAGAGGCCATTTGGATTGGAGTAACAGGTATCTATTTTTCAGACTTGTCAAAAGGATTTAAAACAAAAACAACCCCATTCCCTCCATCCAGTGGAGTCTGACTCATAAGGACTCTGTAGGACAGAGTGGCACTGCCCCTGTGGGTTTGCAAGAGTGTAACACTTGACTGGAGCAGAAACCCCGCCCCCACCCTTACTTCCGCGGGGGTGGCTGGCAGCTGACCCTGCAGCTAGGCTAGGAGCCCACAGCTTAACCACTTTGGGACTAAGGCTCCCAACAAGGATAATAAGACCCATGAATTAAAATGGCCCCACAGCGTGCCCTTCCTAACAAGGGATGGTAGGTAATGAATGCCCCTTTAAGGCAAGGGTAAGGGGGGGCGGGGAGTGAAACGCCCCTCCGGTCAGACAGCAAGTCAGAGGGAACCCTCCCTGCTCCTCTCCTCTGCCTGGTAGGCAGTCCTGACTTCACTATCTTCAAAATCTAGGTCAAGGCTGACCCTAAGGACTTGGATAATTGTCCAGTCCCCAGCCGTCCAGCCACCCCTGTCCTTCCACTATTACTACCAACACCGCCATGGGCAAGTGCGTTGATTACTTTAGATCCCCAAGCCAGGGTCCACTCTTGTGTTCATGGCTTCTGTCCGAAGTGTGAGCATGGGAGGGAGACATCCACAGCCTCTGGGTTACAATCCTGGCCTCATCCCCACCCTCTCCCCAACACACACACACACACACACACACGCACACACAGTCCCAAACTGTGATGTGTCTTAACCAGAACTCTGCACTTAGCCTTTAGGCTGCGCCATGATGTGCGCTCTTATCGCTCTTATCGCAGAGATAGCGCTTTGGGCACTCAGCTTCAGCGTGCGGTTCTCCCACGCCCCCAAAGTACCCTTGGGCCGCCAGCACTCCTACTTTGTGGAGCCCCGCTTGCCTGGCATGGCCCACGTGGAGCACCAGCCCCAGTCTGAGCAGGAGTTCGGGCCTGGGGCAGGTTCCCTACGAGGGAGGGGGGTGGCACGTGTGGGCGCTGCTCCAGGGTCCAGCCGATCGTTTCTGCCAGGCTGGACCTGCGCTGCCCAACTCTTGTGAGCACCTGGGACTGGCTACTGGTCCTGTACACCAAGTGCCCTCCAAAGAGCGCACTCACCACTCCAGGGGCCTTAGGAGGTGGGTCAAGTGACCCAGGACCCTGATGGATCATGGGGAGTCCAAGGGGCTCCCATGACTGACGGGCTGGGAGGGGGGCTGGGGAGACGCTTCTTTCAGGGTCCCCTTCCCAACCCGCTGCTTTCGCACAGCCCCACCCACCCCGCCCCCTGGCAGGCAGCAGTTATGTCCCTTGGGGTGAGGAAGCCGCCTCCCAGTCACCCCTTGGACAGTACACCTCAGGTCCTGCTTCTCCCTGGAGGGCCAGCGTGGGGGGACGCCTGCCAGTGGGGACCTGTTTGCTGGTCGCGTTGGAGGTGGAGCGGGTTGCCGCTGGAAAAGCCCCAGAGAAGACTTGGGATTATCCCCCCCCCGCGCC